TAACACATGATGTCAAGGGCAAAGATTTCTGGGTTAGAGACCTAGTTTTAAATTCCAATTCTGCCAATTTCTAGTTGGGTAACTTGGGGTTAATTATTTACTTTCTGCCATCCTGTTCATTTATAAAGTGAGGATAATAATTCCTTTCTCCTGGGGCTCTTATAAAGCTAAAATAAGAAAAAGCCAGTGCTTAGCATGTAGTCAGTGTTCACTTAACAGCAGCCACTCTAGTTGTTGAATTTTTATTGGCTTCATTGTACTTTTTATCAGGCAGAAAAGCTACTCATCCCTCCTGCTCTATTCCCACCACATATCAATTTGGAGTTCTGGAGTTTATTATGCTGTGATTTGTGTACAGTAGCAAAGGGGAATCTCAGAAATAACAGGAAGATAAAAACTAATTTAAGACACAGCATCCCAAAAAATTACTCAGAGGATATTACAAGTGCAGCATCCTTCCTGGACCTCTATTTTCTCTACCTTTGGTTTTTTCAAAGGGTCATTTCTCTCCTCATGACAACATCAGCTGCTTCCCTGTGACAGACAAACACTCATTCTTCTGCCAAGAGAAAGAGAGTCTGTCCTGTTTTAGTAAGAGGTGCTTTTCCTTCTTGTGTGCTTTTATCTACTTCATACCACACTGGTCTTGCTCTGTAATTTACGGCTGGAAGCCTCAGATATCTGGCTCCACATGTGGGCTTCTCAGTGAGGAGGTCTGGGAAGTATCATTCCCAGGGAGTGACACCTGTCTATGGCACTGTCTTTCCATCTCTGTCCCTGTCTCCCTGAAGGTGTGTCTAACACTTCCAAGGGAATATCACATGCTTTAAGACCTTCCCTGTTCTGACGGCCTCATGGTCACATTTTCTTGGATCAAGTAAGCATGTGTTTATGTCTATTGAACTGGATCCAAAAGAACATACTTTGGTCAGGTTTTCATTAGTTAAGGGGGAAATTTTACAACACACTAGGCAACCAGCCACTGTTTAAAGCAGGGATGTTAGGGCTGGGGATTTAGCTCAGTGGCACAGTGCCTGCCTGGCAAGTGCAAGGTCGTGAGTTTGATTCCTGGTACCAGAAAACAAAACAAACAAACAAACAAAAAAACCCCACAAAATTTCATTATTTGGGGATTTAGCTCAGCGGCACAGAGCCTGCCTGGCAAGCGTGAGGTCGTGAGTTCAATTCCTGGTACCGGAAAAAAAAAAAATAAATAAATAAAGCAGGGATGTTTCAGGACTTATTCTGACAACAGCAAGACCAGCAGAACCTGAGTTCCTTTTCCTGAACCATTTTATGGTCTGAGGACATCTTCTACATTCTAGACAAAACTGTTCGCCTGCTCAGGGAAAGGGGAAGAAAGAAAAACTGGGTTTTTGGTTTGTTTCTGTGTGATCGCTTCCCTTATCATTAATTCTTGCTTTTACAAATCTGGATTATTCAGAAGTCAGTGAGGAACTTACTGGTATATAAATAGGTAACAAAGCAGAAGGGAAAGGAAGGGATCAGGTTTCTGCAGCTGAGGTGGGCGTCAGGGAGCAGAGAATGAGAAGAGGGTGGGGGGAGGCTGAGCTCAACAGGTCCAAGCAGGATGACCAAAGCTATTTCCAAAGACTGCGCCTGCCTCTCTAGACACCCACTCTAACCTTCATGCCCCACGGGAGCAAGCCATGGGCCACACTCCATCTCCGCTGACTGGTTGAGGTGCTTCTTTCCCGGGACAGTGTGGGCCACATTGGGGCCAGGAGCTACAGGCACAGGTGTGGAGTCCACTTGGTACTTATGCAATTTGCGAGCCTCTTCCAACTTCTAAATCAGAATCTCTGAGGGACATCAGACGGAATCCTAAACACTACAAAATGTGAGGATCACTGACAAAGAACAGGTTGAGAATCCTCAGTCTAAGCAAAACTGGGGTATTTATTTTGTGCAGAACAATAACTCCCCCAAAATGCTCTGATTGGCAGAACCTGTGACTGTGTTAGGGAAGAGGGAACATAAGGTTGCCTGCCAGTTAACTGGCCTTAAAATAAAATTATTCTGGATTATCTAGGCATAATCACAAAGGTCTTTAAAAGCAGCAAGAGGCAGAAAATGAATCAGAGACAGCAAAGTGACAAAAGGTTGGAAATAACCAGAGTGATACAGTGTGAGAAGGATTTAGCTCTATGAGGGATTTGGCCTGGCACTGCAGGCTTCAAAAATGGAGGAAGGAATGAGCTAAGGAAGGCAAGTAGCATCTAGAAAATGCAAGAGGCAAAGACAATGGATTCTCCCTTGGAGCATCCAGGGGGACCAAAGTGCTGTCCACACCTTCATTTGAGCTCACTGAGACCTAAAAAACTGGCACCTAAAAAACTGTGAAATAATAAAATGTTTGTTGTTTTAAGACTTTCAGTTTGCGACAAATTGTTCTAGCAGCAAAGAAAATACAAAGAAGTTAATAAGTGACTGTATTCAGTGATACTGATAAGTGTGATTGAAAATGCATGTGTATAGAATAGTTCCTGAAAGGCATGGAATTTAAACAGACTTTAGAAAACAGAAAACAGAGCTTTATTCCATTTTTATGGCTATTGTGAGTAGTACTGGAATAAACATGGAAGTGCAGATCTCTCTCTGACATACTAATCTCATTTTTTTTGAATGTATATTCTGTACTTGGATTGCTAGATTATATGGTAGTTCTAGTTTAAATTTTTTGAAGGCCCTCTATACAGTTTTCCATAATAGCTGTATGAATTTACATTCCCACCAACAGAAAAAGAGTAAGTCTAAATGTCTATCAACTAATGAACGGATTTTTGAAAATGTGGTAAATACATACAGTAGAACACGATTCTGCCCTAAATAGAGATGAAATCCTATCATTTGTGACAACATGACTGGAAATGGAGGACATCATGTTAAGTGAAATAAGCCAGGCGTAGCAGGACTAACACTATGGGCTCTCATTCACATGAGGATTTTTAAAAAGTGATCTCACAGAAGTTGAGGGGAGAGTAGTTTCCAGAAGGTGCAGAGGGTAGCATGTGGGAAGTGCTGGGGAAAGGTTAGTCAGTGGGTAGTAAATTATAGTTGGGAGAAGTTCTGGTGACTAGAGGTTTTGGTAATGTCTTATATATTTCCAAAAAGCTAGCAGGAAAGATTTTAAATGTTTTCACCACAATGAAATGATAAATATTTGAGGAGACAAATGCTTATCTTAATTTGGACATTATGTATCACTTGGTACCCCAAAAATATGTGCAATGTTTTACCCAATATATAGACTTATCAAAGCCTCAAATGGTATCCCATAAATATGTACAATTTTTATGTGTTAATTTTTAATAAACAAATCCAAATTTGTATTTCTATATCATTAAGTAAGAAACTTGACAGAGAATTGGGTACCAGGATTTTGTGAGTAAAATAGGGACTAGTTAATGGTATGTGAAAAAAAGAAATACATATGGATGTCGAAGTCAAGAAAAAAGATGATTTCTAAAATAAAAACTTGCTAGGAACTCACAGAAATCATCAAATTATGTTTGGACTCGAGTATACATCTGATGTCTGAAACAAATATGATAAGAAAGAGAAAGAAAAGAAAGAAAGAAAGAAAGAAAGAAAGAAAGAAGAAAGAAAGAAAGAAAGAAAGAAAGAAAGAAAGAAAGAAAGAAAGAAGAAAGAAAGAAAGAAAGAAAGAAAGAAAGAAAGAAAGAAAGAAAAGAAAAAAGAAAGGAAGGAAAAACTTGAGGTATTAGAAAGTAGTTTTATTTCTTAAGCTAGGTTTAATTTACATCAAGTCTCCTCAAGACAATTGAGCAGGTTATTTTCTGTCTACTTCTGAACATTCATTGTCCGCCTTCTGCATCCTGCTCTGTCCCCTGGTAGAAGAGCCCTGGGGAGAGGCAGCACCTCTGTACTCCTCTGGCTTCTGATTTCCAGCCGGGCACCACAAGGAGAAGCACAGGAGACTGGAGAGCTCACACTTGGTGCTGACCTTGCACCCGTCCTGCCCAGAGGGTCTCCTTAAATTCTGAGCTGAAGGCACCTGACTTTCCCCACTCAACAGTAATACTGAGGAAAAAATAAAAAAACTCCTTCTGGGATCTAGAGGTGATCATCTGACACCGAAAACATGCCTGGAATCCTTTTGCATTTCTTATATGCCCCACCACTATCCTGCCTGCAGCAGGTTGGTGTGGAATGGACTGGTCATGTGGTTGAGAAAGCAGAAATGAAAAGTGAAGAAAATATGGCCCAGCAGTACCAATAAAAACAATTTAACTTGAACACTACCCTGGCTTAAGCAATTTACCCAATTATTCTAAGCAATACTGCTATATGTAAATCATATGTAAATATGAACAACACCCTCCAAGAGCTAGCTTTTTCTGCCTTTTAAAGCAAATTCACTTTGGAGAATAAAAATAGAAAGTCACTCTGCACTGTGTGTGGGATAAAATTTGTTTATGCATTATAACACCTCTACCAATACCCCCAATAGCACCCCAAAACTAAGTGTCTACTTCATGCACTTGGAAATGAGCTATTTAAATAACATTGGCAAAAGTACAAAGACACGGCACTTGTGTCTACACGGGCCTGAGAAGATGAGTGACCTCTGCAGTCCACAGACAGGGCAGTGGCAGGAGAGTGAGGTGGATTCAATCCACATGTGTGTTAACTGCTCATTTCAGTCCCATTCCTTTCCTGGAGTAGGTGCCCCCCTGTCCATCTTAACCCTTACTATTTTTAGAAAACAACAAAAAGATAGGAAGAAGACTATGGCAGGAAGAAGGTGGTAGTGCTAATATACCAAATAAGGCTGCGAGATATTTAAAAGTTGGATCCCTCCCAACCTCTGTGAACATTTGTTTCCTGCCCATAAACAGAAATACCACTCAGAGTTGCTTGTACTTATTTTTAGGGGAAATGTGAATATATTCACATTCCCAAACTGGAGCGAGGTGCACCACTAACTGTCCCACTGGGCGCCTTCGCGGGCCTACCTGCGCGGGGAAGAACCAGAAGAAGAGGTTGCTGTTCCAGGTCTCATTCACAGTGATGTAGCCAGCGTAACTTTTCACATTCAGGCCTGAAAAAAGCCTGACCATACTCATTTTTTTCCCTAGTGGAGAGAAAGGAAATGGAAGCAAGGATTAGAGAAAAACACCCTGTGAGCCATCACAGTCTTAGAGAGACTTTTCCCAGGAACCAGATCCGGGAAGAAGCGATCGAGGAAGCCCCAAGGGAACTGGCCTGAAAGGTTCTTAGCACAGCAAATTTCCGCTTCCACTGGCCAATCCAGCATAGCCCATATTAACAGTTTTGGCGGGAGTGAAAGTTTTAAGTGGTTTTTGAGGGGTGTAATTCAAGAATATTTTATGAACTGTGTAAGATTTCTTTTTAAGATGAAAAGAATCACCTATCACACTTCACATAAACCGCACACTGCTCACACTGGGCCACACAGGAAGGGGCAAGATAAAGTCACCCGACCCAAAAGAAATGGGGTGCAAGAAAATGATGCAGCTCTCTGGCCTGGGAAGGGGGGACTGAGGCAATCGGAACTCAGGGGCCGGCTGGAGGTGGTGGCGAGAGGGAAGAGGCAAGCCATGAGCCAGGCTTTAAGCAACTTGCCCAAGGTCACACAGCTAGTGAAGGAGAGCTGGGACTTAATCCTATCACGTTTCCCTGAAAATAAGACCTAACTGGAAAATATGATTTTTTTTTAGGATGCTCATAATATAAGCTCTATCCCCAAAATAAGCCCCAGTTAGGATCATCAGCCAGAGAGATGAATTTAATACATCCCTTGCAACACATGACGGACGTATTGAATTATAAAATGATATATTAATATAACTAAATATAAGTAAATATTATGGACATTGATACTTAAAATAAATGATAATATAAATTATAATTATTTGTAAATACCCAAGGGGGTGTTTTGGATGAGAAGTAAACACATGAAAACAGATGAACTCCAGACTTTCTGCCCAATGATCAGTTGGAGTACAGACACAATGCACAAATAACACGTGCATTTGAGAATTAATGGACATGGTTGTGTCTAACGTGGGAACGCTGTGTGTTGTACCAGACATACTTAAGACGCTCCTGCAAAGTAAGGAAACATTTTCTGAATTTTGGTGCTTTCTGTTGCTTTTGTGCGGATCATCATTCTTAAATGCCATCATTTTTGTCGCCACTGCTGTCTCTTGAGTCTTCAGTTAATGCTTGATTTAATGGGAACTTGGTGAAGCCCAGCCTGCAAGAGGTTGTAACTTGGGTGAACGATCCACAGAATAAAATCACTGACAGCTGTGTGGCCAGTGCACGTACTATGAGCAGCCGCATGGACAAGAAGCGCTCACTTAAATGGGCCTTTGTTGCTGGACATGAGAGACTGAGGCCAATGGTCCTACAGGAAATGGAGTCACAAGAAAATCAGGCTGAAATTCAGGGTGTAGCTTTGACAATATTCCAGAAGAAGATGACATAAATATATTTGGATGTAGATGTCTGTACATGAATAAATATAGATTGTTTATATGAAGAAATGTAGATTATTGTTTATGAAAAAATAAGACATCCCTTGAAAATAACCCTATTTCATCTTTTGGAACAAAAATTAATACCAGATCCAGTCTTATTTTTGGGAAAATATGGTGGCCGTCAGGCTACAGGGTTTGTTCCTTTCCCTGCTTTGCTACAGGGCTTCTCTATTAAATTAGGCAGCAGCTGTACATAACAGGGAATGGGAGAAGTAGTAGTATGAAAGTGAGTGGAAGAAGAACAGAAAGTAGGTAGCAGGGTGGAGGGCGAGGAAGTCTGGGTGGAAGAGTGGAGTCCTTCAGTGGAGACCTTCAGCACGGGGCAGGAGCCAAAGGGATGTGGTACACTGCGCCCAGCTCCGCCCTCAGCCACATCACCAACTGCATGAAGTCACCTGGAGTGAGAAGATTTGCATCCCAGGGAATCAGTGCTACAGATCCTGGTCTTGATCTCAGAGATGGTGGTTAAACTCTCACCAACACACCATGACTCAGAGACCACAAGTTCGTCTTTCAAAATAAGTGTGTCTCCCCAACAGGGAACTCAGCCAGGACACAGTTCCCTTTTTGAGCACTGGGTGGATCCTAGTGCTACCACACTGGCTTTATGACTCACTGGGGAGCAATCAGCCCCCCTGTGCTTCATCTTCTCATCTGTGAAAGGCGGATACCTTCTGGGTGCACAAGAATACCTGAGTCCACACACGTACGACCTGCAAAGAGAAGCCACCTGGAGTGGGCACAGCTATTGTCACCAACCAATTACATGTGAAATGTCCCCGAGGATTAGAAACAGGTCACTCATGGGAGCAGAGGTCATGGTGGAGACAAAGGAAGGGTCTCAATGGACAGTTGCCTTAGGGTCCTGCCAGGCTGGCATAAGAGAAGAGCATGGCTGCCCAGTTGGGTAGACCTGGTATGTAACCCCAACCAGGTCCCCAGTAAGTTTCTTTACCCCTGAACCTCTCTTTCCTTTTGGATAAAATGAGGATACTGATTCCCTCATTAAGGGCACCTGGTGAGGATCAAATGAAGAAAATGCTGATGAACATGCTCAGTAGGAACCTGGACATAAAATAGAGCTCTAATCAGTGCAGGGTAGAGTTATCACTAGCTCATGGGCCATCCCAAGTGGAGTCTAGAAGTCTGGAAGTGTTGCCTTTCTCTGGGTCAGTTCAGTTCTCCAGGAAAAGATGATTAATGTGAACTCTATAGCTCTTCCCATTCTCTCCCCAGTGAGACCTATACCTCCTATGATGGTCTGAAGGTCCCCACCAAGACTCAGGTTCAAATTTAATCCCCACTGTGAGTTATCAAAAGTGGAAACTCAATCCCAGTATGGTGAGGTCTTTGGGAGGCAGTTTAGGTTAAGTGAGGCCACAGAGCCGGGGGCCTAATCTAAGGCAGCTGTGGCTCTATAAAAGGTGGAAGAGGAAGCTGGGCTGGGATGTTCTCTCACCTGCTGATGGCATTCAACTATATAATCTTGAAATCCCTAGCCTTCAGAACTGTGAGCTGAGTAAACCCTTATTCTTTATAAATTACTCAGTCTGTGATACTCAGTTATAGCAACAGCAAATTACTAAGATGTCTTCCTGCCAGAAAAAGGCAATAAAAAAGAGAGGAGGATTTGAAAACAAAGAAAAGGAAGGTATTGTGGAATGTGTTTTTTCCTGGCTCCCCTTAACACCTCTCTATGCTCTTCCTTCCAGTTGTCATTTCTTCTTGTCCCCTACTTTATCCCTACACTTGATTAGCACAAAGAAAGATCACCCTTCAGGATTGGACAACCTTTACAATGCTTGTGACATATTTTAAACAAAACCATTACTCTTCTGAAGATCAAACAGAGATTTCCCCCACCCATCCATCCCCAAAAAAGGAGGGCAAAAAAGGAAAAACTGGGAATTGGAAATGGGTGAGATATAGACTGAGCAGAGAGAGGTAAACAGGAGCAGATTCAAGAAAGAAGACAGAGAAAAATGAGAAAGGTCAAAGTATAATGAGAAAAAGAGGAAATATATAATAGAAAGGAGCTGGAGGGAATGGAATATGGACAAACGATGATTGAATCAATCTGTCTCCCAGACCGGCTCAGCACAGGGTCTGCTGGCCTGCTCAGAACAGTTCAGATGTTCACTCTCCCCTCCCTTTCTGGGATGCCTAAGTGGCTTCTCTGTGACAGTGTACTTAGTCTGTGCTACTTCCCACCTCCCTTCCCACCTCCACCAGGAGCTGCTGGAAAGCAGAGAATTTGTCTTACTTATCTTTGTACCCATTGCTGATTCACCCTAGAGACATTCAATGAATGTTTTTAATGAATGGTGGGTGAATGAGAAAATAATGAATGAACTACAATGGCCACAGTGACTTTGCTGTAGGATTAGCTTATTTTTACAAAAACCTTCTAAAGAAGACAGGCCTTGTAGACAGCTTAAGACATTAGAAAACCTTTTCTCTAGTGACAGTAGTCCATAAAAAATGTTCTGCCCTGTTTCACATTTTAAATTCCCATTCACCAAATCACAATAAAATAATTAAAAGTCCTTTCAACTAACATGATTTCTTAAATTATATTTGAATGTCTTGTTCTTGTTTCCAGAGTCTATTAGTGGAATGTGTAAACAAACTGCCATGATGTGGGAATTTTTATTTTTCTCTCCCCGTGACTCACCCAACAAGTGTTTAAAAACAGTTAAGAAAAGGAAAAGGTTTCCTTTGAAGGGCTTTTGCCTCCTCCCTGTTACTCACTGCTGTTATCAGTGTTTATAATATTAATACTTTCAAAGAGATTGAAGTGTGGACAAAGCATGCTACATTCACAACACCTGAGTCAACCCAGGGATAGATAAGACACTACCAGCCCATAAGTAATAATAAACTAGGACCCAGTAGCAAAATATTCTTTAAAATTGGTGAAAATGCACTCCTTATAAATATGCTAGAATTGCTTCTTACATTTATTTTGTGTCAGAAAGTAAGGATTTATTCTAAGCTGCAGAGAAAGTAAACATGCAATTACAGTTACATAAAACCAAGCCAGTTAATTGGAAATTTAAAACACAATCCCTTGTCTTTTTGTGAGCTACTGTTTATCTAAAAAACATTCCATTGTGCTATTAAGACACGGGTTCCTAGAGTTTTGACAGACTTGATAAACAAAAGGGAGTTAGGGAAGTGAGCTGACCATCTGTCCAGAGCTTCCTGAACTTTCAGTAAAGCGGATGAATAAGATTATCCTTAATGATGTTGTCAGGATTGCATCTGACTACCCAGATGTATCAGCTTTTGGATCAGCCACTTAAAATTCCATTCAAAGATTCAGGTTGTGCATCATAACTTTAGAAAGCGACATTACATAGGGATTTAATGTCTGAAATGCTAGCACTGGTTGAGTGAAGAACTGCCAGGCTTGGACAGAAGGACAGAAGATAAACTATCCCCTCTCCAAGTTTCTCTGCTATTGCTTATGCCCTTAATGGTGGAATGCTCAGGGGTGAACAAAGGCAGGCAGAGGAGGGAGGCGGACAACCTCTTGGGTGGATTTCTCTACATTCTTTTCACTTGGTCTATCAAATGCATGACACAGACAACCCTGATCACTTTCACTTAATGCCTTTTTTATGCTATTGCCTTCGTTCAGCAGGCATAGACTTTTCTCTCTTACTCAGATTTTACCCACATCCACACGTCTGGAGCTAGTCACACAGCAGAGTAGTCCATAGTTCTGACTCTGGAACTGGCAGGCATAGGTAGTGAATCCAGCTCTGCCACTTCCTAGTGTTATATCTCTGGGCACAGAACTTCATTCCTCTGGACCTCAGTTTTCTCATCCACAAAATGGGAACAATATTTAACAGATATGCTATGGTTTGTATCTGGATGTCCCCCCAGGACCTCATGAGGTCATGGGGGCAGGCGCTTTGGTGGTGGCTGAATCTAGACCTTGTGATTGGTTCATTGTCTAGTACTGGGACTGGTGGTGTGAGTGCTGCACCCACCCTGGGGCAGGTAGCCTGTATACAATGTGAGGGAAGGAAAGAGGCTTGCTTCTCCCTTTTACCCCTTTTTTGCTCTTGCTGCTTTTGCTGTTTTCCACTGCCCTGAACTGTTGCCCCTTGCCATGTGCCACCCTGCCTTGGAGCCAGTTGGTTATGGACTGAAACCTCCACAAACTGTGAGCTAAAATCTTTCTTTCCTTAATTTTGGGGCTCAGGTATTTGCCTCAGCACCAAAAAAAAAGTAACTAAGACAACATCCTTCATTAGGGTTGCAGTGAGAACTTACAGAGTTAATAGACGTAAAACATAATACCTGGCACACAGTAACGACTCTAATTTAAACTGTACACATATTTATTGAGTGCTTTTTAATACTGGTATTGTGCTGGATACCAGGGATATAATCCTGAAATGTTATTATCTATTATTTTTACTATTAAAGAGATATGATCAAAATATCCAGTGAATGTTTAAACTTCTTGAAAAATGTGTTACAATAAGAGACACGTTGGCATCAATCCCCTTCCAACCACTCTCTCATGTTTGAATGCTGTTACTCCATCACTCTCACCACTTTCTAAAGCAGTTCGGAAAGTCCTTGTTCGTGAATATCCATAGTTGCAGGGTCATGGTTCTCTTGATGTCCTAAATCAGCTTAAAACATTTATCTTTCATGGTCATTTTGACTTTAGGGAAGAGGCAGACCCAGTGAATAAGATGGATGAGGACATACTGTCATGTTTCCATTTGACAGAAACTGCCGTAAACATTTGGAATCCACTCAGGACACTGAAGGAGGCAGAAAAGCACAACTAAGGAGACCCATAAAGGAGAACTGCCAGGACCATTTCAGAAAACAGCAAGAATGATGAAATAACATTGCTTTAATTACTTTACTAAGAAATAACATTACTTTAATAAACATTTTTAAAATTTAGATATTTGCCACATTGTTTTGTTCACACACACCTCATATTTTCCCCTGGATTATGTTGACCAATAGGTTTCTTCTCAAAATTTCCAGCATACCTAATTCAGTTGTGATACTTCAGCACTTTAGGGTTCACTACCTTATTCCTTAATCCTTTTGTGCACATGCATGTCGTCGCTTCAGAAGACCACAAGCTTCTTTAGCAAATAAATAAATTGTATCAGGCAAATCACAGAGCAAGAGTCTGAAGATTGGGTGCTACATACATCTCTGCTACCCCATCTCTATTACCTGCATTGCCTTGGGCAACTCCTGTAACAGATTTGAATCTTGATTTCCTCCTTTGTGGAGTGGTAGGGTTTAGTTAAAATGATTATTTAACTCCTTTTCAGCCCTAAAGTAAATGGTCTGCTTGAATTTGTTAACAAACATAAGTGAAGTCATTAGTATCTACATATTAAAGAACCTAAAATAAGTGTACTGTGATCCAGTTCAAGTTGGATGAATATGTTGCCCAGCACTATGGAAGACTGAAACAGGAGGATCCCAAGTTTGTTCCTGGCCTGAGAAACTAAGCAAGACCCTGTCTCAAAATTTTAAAAGAAAAATTATTTTCAAAAAGAAAGGCTGGGGATGTAGGTCTATGCAAAGGCCCTGGGTTCAGTTCCCAGGAAGGGAGAAAAGAGAGGGAAGGCAGGAGACAGACAGACAGACAGACAGAGACAGGCACAGAGACAGAGAGAGAAGGAGAAAGAGAGAAGAAAAGATGAAAAAAGAGTTTCCCTACAATCGGTCCGCCATCTATTCACAACCTTTCCACGTCAGTAAAAGTGAGTCCTTTTGGAAATGCACTGAATACACTATCAAAGTCTTTTCACCTTTCCTTAGAAAGAGCTGGTAAAACTTGGAGCCGACATGTATTTCCAAAGACAGACATATAAGCAGGACTTAAGCACTTCCTTAAGATACAAGAATGCCTTGATTTGAAAGAAAACAAAAATGATGACATCCTAGTGGCTGTGTGAACTCTTCAAACAGACAAAGTCTGCTCTATTTTAAACCTCATCATAATATTTAGATTTAGTTTTGCTCTCTAGGATGAACATTTCTCTAAATTTGCCAGGACCGTGCATTCCCATCCCATCTACCAAACCTCCCAGCTACACAGGCACAAATTCTGCCTCTTACCTGTGACTCAGGGTAAACCTCAGGGCAAATGCGAAGGCCTCAGGCCCCCCTGCTTCTTAAACAGTCTCCACGGTGGCTCCCTCACCCCATTCCCACTATCATTTCCATCAGTAAACACCATATCTCCTACCCTCACTGACCCCAGCGTTCTTCTGGCCACCACCTCATTTCTCTACTGCTCTCCACATAGTCATTTATCCACCCCGGGACTTACCTGAGCACAGAGAAGCATTAAAAGCAGACGGGGCTCATAAATTTTAGTCCCTGATAACACCAAACGACACCTTCCTTTTCTTTTAATGATAGTAATAGAAAAACCCACACTCTATACATAAATATTTGCTTAAATATTAGCAAACACTCATATTTGAAGAGTAATTTACAAAACATTTTCACCAACTTTTTCTTTTTGGAATCGCTAACACTGTGCAGGTGGTTAAACTCCACCTTATTAATGAGGAGACTGAGGCCAAGCTGTGTGGGCAACTTGCCGGTGAAGGGAGCACAGCAAAGTGGACATGGTGACACCCCCACGTGTGAAGCCTGCATCTACCACAAGGACTCTGTGTGGACCCTGCCAAGGTCTTGGATCTGCTGCTTTAGGCCAAAGTGGTCCACCTTGCTTTGCTGAGATGTGTGAATAAGTTCCCACAGAATGCTTGACTGACACGTAGGCAGTTTGCAGGCTGGCGGTAGCCCTGTCAAGTACCCACTGGGGACAGGCACTCACTAGTTTTATAAGTAGAAATGCTGTAACTCTACCACATAAACAATCACCCAACGCTAACTCTCATGTTAGCTCAAAACTCAGATAATATGTGATGGGTAGTCTTTAAAGCAATGTGACAGGTCAAATGATGCCCCGCCTACAGCTCCCGAGTAGTATATGTGAGCTAGGCCGAGTGACACCACACTGTCGGCTGAGACAGAGGCTCAAGAAGAATCTCTGACATCCATGACATCTCAGGGAGTGAAGATCACATATTAGAGTCAAAGCACTGACCCCTAAACACAAGATACTTACTCTATCTGTAATATGCAGATTACTCTTTCTGCGTCTCTCTCTTCTCTCTCTGCATATTGCAGAGGCTCTATTAGACCTCCTACCCAGCCCAGCTCACAGCACTCACAGTACTTCCCACCTTTCTCTCAGTCACTCATCCCTGAGTTATTCCCCTCTGCATGAATTAATAAAACCCAAGCTTGGCCCTGAATTAAGGCCTTTATTCTGGTTAACCATCATTCTAGCTGGACTTAGGATCCCCTTGGCTCCCCACAACTACAAATATGCCTTAGTGTCTTTATTCTCTCCCTGGATTGCACTGAACGTTGTAGGAATTACTTATTGGAATTCTAATAACTTTCCCGAGATCACAAAGGCAAACTCCTCTGGACCTCGACAAGGTCCAGGAAGGCTTTCTATAATATATGACATCAAATCATTAATATTTGAAACAAAATAAGTAAGTAAAAACATCAGGATATATTTTGCATCTTGTGAGAGAACTGATTAGAAAACACCCCAAACTGTTGAAAGTATACCTGTGGTTTTCTGATTTGAACTCACCTTTCTCGATCTTCCCAGCTTCTATATAAGGGCTAAGAAATACTGGCTCTCCTGTATCTCCCTTAGGTGGCACAGAAACCCGGGCACTTCGGTACAGGGACTGAAACAGCCCATCACAGGGGCTGAATGTCAGCAGGACCATGAACAGCATCACCTTCCACATGGCACCAACCATTTCTTCTGAGTCTAGGATGAAAAACAGTTGCATTTCACAAATGTATCCAAAAATCAGTATTTCCCTGGACCTTCTAGATGCAAGAAATTCACTTATTCCCTCAAAAAATTTTTCAATTCACTGAAAAGTCGCTTTGCGGAGCATCTTCAGTAGGACCACGAATAAGAGTGAGCCAAACCCTGCTCATCCTGGTGTTCCCAGCTGACAGGGAGATGCTTTTAGGTATTTATAATGTAATTGGAAAATGATTTATATATTTTTAAACTCTGGCCTAGAAAGTAGACTCAGTGGAGGAGTAGATAAAACCTCAAAACAAGGAGTTTATGACTGATCATCAAATGAGCAGAGACCATTCTGCCTCTATAAGACGGTAAATGTTTAAGAGCTCATTTTAGGTGATGGCCTTACCAAGGACCCTGGGAATAAAAGGTGGTGGAACTCAGTGTAAGAATTACCCATGCAAGGGATAACAGCTTGAGCAATGGTGAGAAGACCTCAGTCCACTAGTACTTTGCAGGGCAATTTAAAATGAGCAGTGGATTCTGGTTCTGTCCTCCATTTCTTACAAATCATCAGGTTTTATATCCAAAAACAAAGAAAGATGAAAAGATAGAGGTTTCTCCAATTATTTTCAGGTCCCTCCACCATTGTTTACCTGTAAGTAAACTTAAGACACTAGGTCCCAAAATTTATTGGCAAAGAAGTTCTCTGAGATTCTTCAAATCTGATGTTTGCTGAGAGTATTTATGGGGGCTGATCATCATAATGGCTTCAAATAGAATGGTGAGTTACATAAACTTTTGTACACACATGTATGTCTCATTTACAATGGTCTTTTCTATGTATTTTTTTAGCTGATTTAGACCTCCTAATAAATCCTCCAGGAAAGTGAGAATTCTTATCATCAACTTTAGATAAGAAAAATGACCCAAGTGAGTTTCTCTGGCGAGGGTGTGAAAGAGGAGGAAGCCAGAACTTGATTTCAGTTGAGGCTAGTACTACAGGATACTGTTTTTCTTTTGTTATAGCGTTTCCCCCCATTGCATGTATTGTTTTTTTCAAGTCCTCCAATAAAGTACTATTTACTCTCAGCAATCATGATTACATGGGGACTTTTTTAATATTCTCTCAAATTTTCCACTTGAGGCAGGTGCCTGTCTTGACTCTACCTAATCCTGACCCTGCTGAGTATATGATGATCGCTCTGGTGCCATTTCATCACTTTACACTACTGCTAGCTATTTAAGTATGATCCAAGTTCTTGGTGTTAAATTCTAAGTAAAATACATTAAATAAACACTCTATTGACTCAGATTTCTACATGCAAAAAGAAATAAACAATTATGCAAGTTCAGCACTTCTGATTGTTCAGTGCTTTAAAATGCCAAGCCATTAGAACATTTTGAAAATACAAAATGTGTAAAAATCTATTAACCACATGCTTATAGCAAACCAATTTGGCATAATATGAAAATATTAGTTGTAGCAAATTTAAAAAGCTTTTCAGCAACATTTCCCCATCAAGACAAAAATGTATACTCATAACTTGATTGACTATATGACTCTCATCGTGTCTCTCAGAATTAACTTAATAGAATTCCTCACATTTAATATAAATAAGCCCAACGAAATTCAATATGGAGCTTAAAAAAATGCTTTCGCCTATTATTGACTATAATAAAGCACAGAATGAATTTAGAAACTGAAATTGAGTTCCCAAGAAGCCCAAGGGTAATGGCCACTATGGCACTGTTAAGATATTTTTTAAAATTATGTGTTACACTAATGTTTAAATCCTACCCCTATTTTCTAAGAATGCCAAAAATCAACAGCCCTACTGTCTGATTCAGAAAAAGAATATGATGTTAAAAAAATAATGGAACAAGCTCTTCCGGTAAGAGATTCCCCTTCCCCTCTCCCCAGAGGGGCGTTCAGAAACAAGAAACCAACACTGCCATCTATTCTGAGTCTTCCACTGCAAACCTCCAACGCCCTTTAATGGAAGCCATTAATATTTAAATAACCCTGGTAGTCACAGCACTTCCCTTCTAAAGCAGAAGTTGACTCAGAGATGTTAAAGAATGACAGAGGTAAAACTGTTCTGGTTTTAATAGACATAAATCTAATACATAAATGTTAGAGTTGGGTCAATTTAGTAGATCTCATTAACATTTAATCAATTCCAGTTGGAGTCAGGGTTTCACATGTAGGGGAATTAAAGCAACAACGTACTTCATTTCACAGTTCTCCTTTAACAATCAAGGTCCCTCAGCTGTGCTGAGCTGCCATCTCTCCTCAGGAGAATGAATGAACGCTATTTTGAATGGAGTAGTAGGATTTTTTAACACTATTCTCAAATGATTTTGCTTTCCTCAAATTAGCCTGAATCTTTTTTAACTTACTAAAAATACTTATTAAGCACTTTCTAAACTAATAAACCCTACACTACATAAAGGCTCTCTCCCTTAGAAAATGAAAAAAAAATCTATTAACCATATATTTTATTATATCTACTTTCACATAAAAAATTAGTGCTAGTTCCAATTCAAATAGATCATACTGAAGAATTCAGGCAAAATATTTCCCTTAATAAATGTTTAAAAATAGAATAAAATCTAGGTGAAATCAAATAATATTGGTAGAATCAAACTTATACTCTGCTAAAATTGTCTTATGAAATCTGAAATATTACAATTAGAAACTTTATGTCCAATGTACAATTTTAAAATATTAAACAGAGCTATTTATCTCAGTCTTCTAATAATAAACAACACTTTCAACTTCCAACAATAAGATATCAGTTACTTTACACCAAAAAAGATGAAATTACAGTGAGTGAAATGACTCTATTGAGAATGTTTAGAAAAATAGGTGAAGAAAAGCAGAATACTAGATCAGACAGGCTGCATTTTCTCCTCATTTAATATTTCTTCAGAATTGCTAAGTTTTCTATAATAATTTTATAATCAGAGAAAAGTAAGTTTTATGATTTTTTGGCTTTTTCTTAAAACAAGTGAAGCAAAACTAATTGAAATGGCAAAAAAGTGCTTGTTCCTTATTCTTTATCACTACCTGGCTATGACCTCTTGTGTTTCCTAGGAATAAGGTTCTGTTTGCTGTTCTAGAATGTATCATTTTCTTTCTCTAACATTCTGGGAAGACATGTCCTGATCTAAGGCCTCAAGACCTCAGACACTCAAAGTATATTTTTCTTTGGTAGCTAGAAGGCTCTGCATAAAGGAGAGCTGGTATTATATTAAAAATTATGATTATATTTGCATTTAATTCTACCCAGAGTTCATAACAAGTATGCAGATAATTGGTACTAAGCAAATATTTCTTTTATTGATGGATCTAAATAATGAGCTATGCTACTTTAGAACTGCATGAGATATTAAATGTTCAGGTGGCCCAGTTTCTCCATCTGACAGATTGAAAAACTGAATCTGGAGGAATAATTGACTGATCAAGACTGCACCACTGGTGAGTGGTGGGGACAAGACCCAAACCCAGGATTTATATATGTAGTTCTAAATCTAATCTGCTGTCCATTGTCCCATCTTTGGTTATTCAAATATGGACTCACTGCCACAATAGCTAATAGCAGCCTGTAATGATCCCCTTTCACAATTTGTTGGAAGATACTGTCCAAACAAACAGAAATATAGATAAGTAAATCTTTCTAAGGAAGTTTAGATTTTAGAACCAGAACTCTCAATTCTGTCTGTGCCCCTGCAACCCATCAGTGGACCCTGGCAAGACAGTACCTTCTGTGTGTCCCTACTGGTGCAGACCCAGCCCAAGAGAGCTGATGGCTAAATTTCCGGGAACGCTGACAGCCAGTTATGCAACACAGCCACTGTTAAAAGGTAAAATCTAAAAACTTACTGTGCAATGAGTTGTATTCTAAAGCATAGGTTTTTTAAAATACTCAAAGCTCATTACTTCCTAATAATTGTAGGACAATTTACTATTATCTGAGACTCATGTTTTCTGCATTGCTTTGGTGGTTTGATTTGTATTGGTCTGATTTGCTTCTGTATATCTTTTTCCAAGTCTTTTCAGTAGTCATGTTCATAGCTTGGCATCAGCCATGACAGCAATATTTATACCATGGAAACCATCAAACACCACAAATCAGATCTATTTCTCCCAGAAAGCAATTTGTTCAACACTCATCTGCATGGCTTGCCTCCTGCTCTTCATTTGTGAAACGAACTAGACATTACTTTCTATCAGCTCGCACTCCAGTCCCAAATGACATGGCCAGTAGAAGGGACAGGAAGGGACACTCCTGTGCAAATGTTCTCTGTGCATGGCAGCAAGAGTAACATACCAGGAACGAAACAGGAAGCCAAGAGGTGGCATGTATTTTACCAGTGGAAAAAAGATCAGAAACTCCAAAATAAGGAAAAGAACCAAAAAGCAAACATTTAAACCAATTTTCTGTTCTCCCCTTCACCCTTCCACTTCTGTTTTTGACTACAGTTTACTCTAACCAAATGAGCAATAACACTTCATGTAATAAACATGAGTGCTGCAAATAAAAGTCATTTGGATTTCCCTTATGTAACCCCAACATGGTAATAATATTTTAAAAAATAATGCATTAACTAATAACATATACTTCCGTGAAATCTGTAATCAAAAGTACAAGAAAGTCATTCTGCTATTTGCAAAAGATTCAGTTACCTCTCAAGATTAGTCAAGCATAACCAAAGCATTTGAATTCTGTAATAAAGGGGTATTGTGCAACCCTTAATTAAATACCAAGCTAAATCCCTAATCTAGCTGTTTGCTAAAGATTTCCATGAAAGTAAATGGGCTAAATAACATTTTTGAGGGATGTACTATTCTTCTACTTGAAGACATCATTTAAATTTCTAAAATTGATATTTGAAACATTCTTTCCCCAGAGAGGACATGTATATGACACCCGAGGTTAAGGGCAACCTGTCACTAAAGTGACACTGATGCTTACATTCCTATCTCCTTTCCACAGCTCGCACTTCTGGCATGAGACCCGGCATCTAATCTCTCTAGTGAATTAGCCGTCACTCTCTCTGCTGCCATATCCTTGGACTTGCAGGAACCAGAGGGAGAGTTATGTGGCTGACAGAGAATGAGAAGAATGAGGAAAAGGAGAAAATAATATAACCTGACACTACAGTAACGAGCTTTACCTTGAAATCTCACTCTACCCAGAGGAAAATTGGAGTCAGGGTAGGGAGGGGATGGAAATAAAAGTAGACATGACACGTTCCAAAATGTTAATCACAGCTGTGAAATAGAAAGATCATGGTCTTGAGGAAAAACATCATTGTGATGAGGGTACCAGTAATAGCTACCAGGTATCCAACATTTCCTATTCCTGTGTTAATTGCTTTGTATTTTTTATTTCTAACACTTATAGTTATAATCATCCCATTTTGTAAATGAGAAACTGATGTTCAGAGGATTTAAGCAACTTGCCCAGGTTCACATAGATAGTAAGTGGTAGCACAAAGAACCGTGCCATCAGGGTTCAGAACATGCCATCTCAAAATGTGACTCTGGGCATACTGAATGCTACTGTTACTGATGGAAATTGAAGCAGGAGGGGACACCCCCACTTCTCTTTCATTCTCTTTAACCTTCTACACCTTTCTCTCCTGAGAACTGGCTGTAAAGAATGCTGTCTTATGTCTTACTTTCCCTGAAAATAGGTCACAAGACCTTGTGTGTGGGGTGCTATCCTGATCTGCACCACTGGTGAGTGGTGGGGTCAAGACCCAAACCCAGGATTTATATATAATTCTAAATCTAATCTGCTGTCCATTGTCCCATCTTTGGTTATTCAAATATGGACTCACTGCCTCAATAGCTAATAGCAGCCATGTATATACACCAACTCACTGTAACTGTTGATAGGTCCCTTCCACCAACTGAAGCTTCCAAAGGGAAGGAATACCACAGCAAGAGGACAAGGAGAATCTAAAAGTTTTGATGACTTCCCCCACTGAATCACCATTAGCTCCTTCATCCTTTATGCTCATGCTTAGATCCTACCTTTTTGTCTTCTAATCATATGCTGCAGGAATATCCATGAAAATACAAAGTTTTTCCTGGTTCTCCGGGTCTTTGTATTCTGAAGGCCTGTGTCACTTATATTAAATAAATCTGCTGTGCTTTTTTCTTGTTAGTTTTCTCTATAGGGTCTCAGTCACAAATTTTGTCATGAAAAAAGAAAAGACTTTCTCTTAATTATGGAAGCTAATCCTGATGAGTTTCCAAAGAGTATCCTGGAGCCCCTCTGTCAGCATTTCCCAAAACATGCTATGCACGCCAGGGTTTGAAAATACGTACTATTTACCTACAGAACTAAATTACTCAAAATTTCTAAGAAGCTACACTTAAAGTTAAAATTTTAGCTGAATATTTCACAAACCAACACTATTTCACCATAAATGTCTTTTTTCTTATACAATCTTAATATTAATTCTATGTAACAGAGATTGTGACTTTTATCCCTCCAACAAACAAGTTAGAGAAACATCTTGTGTGTCCTCAGAAAGGCATTTGGACAAAAAGCGGTCAGGAAATACATATCTGAGTAGATGGACAGGGAAGGAGAAGGAATCCGCATAGGGAAAGTGCAGAGGTCCTGGAGTGCAAATAAGCTTGTTGGTGGATGGGAGCACAATGGATGGAAGAGGGAGTAGCACACTGTGATGTGGGAAGGATGGATAGAGCAGACCTTGCTGTCCTATCTGTCCACATGTGGGCTGACGGTGGGAGACCACTGGAAAGTTTTAAGCAAGGAGCAAAATTCTCTGATGTGCACTGTGAAATGACTGCTGTAGTTGCTAATTAGCAGATAGAATAAAGATGGAACCAAGACACCAGTTAGGAGGCTGACATATCCAGGAGAGATGAAAGAGGCTGGGGCCAGGGAGCAGCAGTGGAGGTGATGAGAAGCAGCTTTATTTTGAAAACAAATATACCAGTATTTGTTAATTAATAGAGAAGAAAGGTATAATGTCTGAGGAAAGGAAAGAAGAAGCAGGGATGACTGTGTCCGTCCACTTTCTGTTGCTTTAGCAAAATATTTGAGACTGAGTAATTTATGAAGAATAAAAGTTTATTTTGTGGCCCTGAAAGGTGAGAAGTCTGGGAGCACCTCACCAGCATCTGGTTGGCCTCCAGTGAGGGCCTTTTTGCCATATGATAGCGTGGTCAACGGCATCACGTGGAGAGACAAAGCAAGTCTGCTAGTCTCCCACCCTCGTGATCTCATCTAATCCTAGTGACTTTCCAAACACTTCACTTCCAAATTACCATTCACATGAATTTTGGGATTAAATTATTCAACTTTTGGGAGATACAGTCAAGCCATAATAAAACAAACAAACAACAACAATTAAAAAAATGGCTTTTTACACAGAGTGACTACATGCATTGTTATGGGATAAATTGTTTTCCTTAAGTATAAGTTGACGTTCTAAAGCCCATAGAGTCTTTGTAGACGTAACTGGTTAAGTTAGAATGAGGTCATAATGGAGTCCATTGTACTTTAATCCAATGTAACTCTTGTCTTTATAGGAAAAGGAGCAAAAGACACAGAGAAGGCCATGCAAAGACAGACAAGTAGAAAACAGCCTTGTAAAAACCTAGGCAGAGCCAGGAGTAAGTGGTGCATCTACAAACCAAGGGATGCCAAAGATTGTCGGCAAGCACCAGGTGCTACAAGAGGCAAGGAAGAATTATCTCCTACAGGGGGCTGGGGATTTAGCTGAGCGGCACAGCGCCTGCCTGGCAAGCACAAGGTCGTAAGTTCAATTCCCGGTACCAGAAGAAAAGAATTATCTCCTATAGGTTTCAGAGGTGTTGTGTCTTGCTGATCCATTTATATTGGACTTCTGGACTTCAGAGTTAACACATTTTTGCTGTTCTAAGTCACTCAAATTGTGGGACAACCAGTATTTTGTTATAGCAGCTGTATAAAACTAGTACATAGCAGAACCATTACTAGGAATTTGGATGATGCTGGAATAGAAGGCAGAAGGTACAAATCCCCTCAGATTCTACTTTAATTGCCTATTAGTCCTCCAACCAAAAACTTTGAGTGGCCAGCACAAAAAAAAAAAAAAAAAGGGAAGCTAAATGATTTCTTATATAAGGTTTTGCTACCATTATTTTTAAGTCAGGATTTCCCACTGGATCCTTTATGGAATACTAGCTCAGCAAGATATAAGACAAATGTTTGAGAAATTCCAGGTTAAATAAAAATAAATGAGCTTTCACTTTACAGAGCACCCCAGAGCCTTCCATCACATGCATACTTGTAGAAATGTGTGGTTAACCATATTAGTTTCATCTACCGTATCCAGAATATGAAGGCCCATACTGGAAAGACAATTAATGTTTGGGCACAGGAAATGATCTGTAAAATCAAAGCAACCAAGGTATCTTCCTATGACTAACCAAAGGGCAACAGTCACTGGATCCTTTTAAGATTTTTAAAATCTAAGGCATATGGTATCCAACGTGGAAAAAATGGATGAAGCACATAGAAGGATTTGTCTGGTTTTTGAGCCACTGAAACATCCTGTAGTATTGCTTGCATGAGCAGTTTCTGATGCAAAAATATATATATATATATTTTTTTCACTTTCTTGCTGTACACTGACTTCTTGTTAAAATCATTAATGTTCACTATTATTTCCCAATTCAAAAGAAACATTTCAGTCTTTATCCCTGACTTTTTGGCACGTTTTCACTGCCCCTTCTGTAACTCTGTCACATCCTTGCTTCTGCAGCCTGTGCTTTCATGGATCTTCTAGAATTTATCATAATTTCCTCTTCCTCTGCCTTCCCCTTAAATATTGGATTTCCCAGGATTCCATCCCTGATCCACAGCTTATCTCATCCCACATACGCTCCAATTTTCACTAATAGTTTCTGCTGACACCACTCAGGGTGGTAGTTCTTCACAAGCTTCGGGCTCATCGCTTCAGGTGCCTTTGGAACACTTTCTCCTGGCATCCCAAGAGCTTACTAAACTCACTATGTCAAAATGGTGCCTAAGTCTTCTGCTGAAACATGGCGAACTGAGCATATTTATTCCATTCCCACAGGAAATCTCCAGAAAATTTGAATAAACATATTTTTTTTAAAGGTATAAACCCTTTGGCCTAAGAATACATAACAGATAACAGGCACTGAAGCAGATTGAACTTTTGCTGTTGTCAGATGAAAAAGTAAAAAAATGGTTTACAGGGAAAAAAGCTGAATACAAATGAAAAATAGGCTAGCTAGTTCATATTTCCAAACCTCAGAAAGGTTCAAAAATGGAAAGTACTGGACACTGCAGAAGACAAACAGTAGAATAAGAGGTTAAAAGTGGAGGGACTGGGGCTGGGGATTTAGCTCAGCGGCAAAAGCGCCTGCCTGGCAAGCGCAAGGTCGTGAGTTCGGTTCCTGGTACCGGAGAAAAACCAAAAAAAAAAAAAAAAAAGTGGAGGGACTGCTGAAAGTCTACGATAATATACTTGTCCCCAGATCCTCCTCCCTATGTTAACCTAACAGGAAGAGACAGTCTATGGAAAAGTTTTTCTTCAAAACTTTCACCACAGACACTCTAGATTTGGTAATATGAGAAACAGCAAGGAAAGACACCGTACTGAAAACTAACAGAAAGTCTACACACTAATATACCCCAGCCCTGGAACTCCCAGCACCAAGAAAGCTGGCAACAAGTACTGTCTGCCCTCATTCTCACCCTCTGCAGGAGATCCAGTGATTTTTCTCTGCAGTAACTGAACCTTCTTAGAGAAAGAACCTACAAAGACACACATGTGGAGTCCTCAGTGAAATGTCTTGGTGCCCTCCAATCCACTGTACCTGTTGATAGGTCCCTTCCACAACTGAAGCTTCTGACCAGTGTAAGTTGCTCACACTTACTTCAACAAACTACAAGGAACCACAGGAAAGTCTCCAACTTGGAAGAAAATCCAAAAAAAGAACTACATGAGACAAAACAAAACAGCCTCAAGAGAAACAGCAATTTATATAGCAAAATGACTCTTTGGAAAAAAATATATATATCCTTAAGGAGACAAAAGTAGACAGTGCATTTGTGAACAGAATTCTGCTTTTAAAGGCATTTAGAACAACCCTCAGAAAGGTGATTGTTACTTCAATGAAGTCTATAAAACTGTACAAGAGATTGCAACTACAGTAAGCCACTTGACTCAGCACTGAACAGTACTTACACAACGGAG